GAAATATTTTTGGTTGTAATTTAAACACCGCCCTGCTCTTAACAAAAAAAACAAAAATAATAACAATATAAAGTGTCCGATAACTGTCTACTTTACCCTATATCAATTTTATAAAAAACCGTGACATTCTTGAAATATATTTTAAAAACAAACAATTTCTCTTTTGATTCACGTAAATAATAAATTGAATTGGTCGCTTTCTTTATGTATGTACAAAGTTGCTGGCTATTTTCAAAAGGAACGGCTACCGACATAAATCAATTATTTTTTTATTAAAAGCAATTCTTCTTCTCCTAACAACTTCCTTATTACGATGATACCGTTCATTTTAAATGCCTTATTCGATCCAATTCCCGTTGACAACGTCCCAAACAAAACAAAATAATAAAAATGTGGAACAATTTTTAAATTAAAACCAGCAATAAAATTTTACATTCTACATTATACCTTTTTTTAGACTTCTTGTAAAATAATACTATCATACATTTTGAATATTAGCTTCACGGAGGATAGCTTCACGTAGGTTAGGATTTCGTATGTTTTTTTAAACATCCCTTTGTATATTTAAATATTTTGACACCTTAATATTTTTAAAAAATACAATTGTACATACATAAAATATTTATATAAAAATCTACTTACTGAGATATTACACTTCACGGTGGATAGGTTTTTAAATAGCAAATTAATGAACTTAAACTTTTGAATTATAAAACAGCAACACTCTCATCTGCATATACATTCTAACTGACCTAACTGACCACATGCATCTATAATGTCGTCAACAGAGGTTTTTGCTTATTTGAAATGATTAAAGCGCCATCCGTTGCATAAAATTTAAAGCAAAAACAGATTCACGGAGGATAGAATCAATTTTTGTAACGCCTACATAAATGGTTATAAAAATTATTTCTTTTGATTTTTAACAATATTTTATATTTGATTCGATTGCTTTTGATGTGTTTAATTTACTTAGTGAACTGATACTTTTAGTATGCATTTACTACCTTAGATATTTGAAAACATGTAGGTTAACCTAGAAAGAGTAACAGTCACGGAGGATAGGTTTTAGACTTTTAAAACATTGTAAAAAATAATTAATTGCAGTTAACAATTATAATGTACCTATACATATAACAATTTTTATTTTAAGAACTTGACAGAGTTTTTGATTTCATAAATACGGTAAAAAATTAATGACTTCCTTCATAAAATATATTTCTAAATATGTGGATAATTTTATAAAGGTATTGTTGCATTCATCAAGTTTCAACGCAAGTCCTTTAGAAGTGAAAAGGTTTTTGTAATGACACTCTTCTTGAAACCCTTTATAAATGATTTTAAGTGCAACTGTGATAGGTTGTCTAGACGTATGCCCCAGGCAAATTTAAGGGAACATAATTCGAACCTCAGACCATACACCATTGGACAGAGCATTGGATATGCTTTATCCTTTAGTGTATAATCTAAGGCTACAATTAATAGTTATTTATGTATTAAGGCAGTAAAGTCGTATTTTTATCACGAATAACCACGTGAGTAATAAAAAATGACTTTAATGCCGAGGTGCATATTAAATTTTATCCGAAATCTTATTTAATAATTCTAAAAATAAATATTGATGAATATTTCCCTCATTATAATATGAACCAATCAAAAACCTTGAATTTTCGAATAAATTTCGTTTAAATAAGCGATTAAATCAATAGAACTATTTAACAGCGATTAAATTTTAGCCTCTATTGTAGGGTGGTGACCCACCCTTAGTATTCTCTGAAAAATGTCACTTGTCTTGAAGAATTCTGTACTTATCTTACTTATATTTTTGTAATATTAAAATATCCCTAATTGAATATTATTATTTAATTACAATTTTATGCTTTTAGTTATAGGCAACTGTTTATACAGCTGTGTATTTTTGGTTGTATAATTAATATTATTTTATAATAATGTAATAATTGGGTTTAGAAGATTATTGTGAATTATCTAGTTATCGTAAATAGGTTACTTATTTAATTAATATTTGAAGTAGTGCTGTTAATCCTTAAAAAGAATTGACAGAAACTTTTACGATGCGCATGCATAAAGAAGTTTCTACGGTTTTTGGACGAGTCCATTATTTGATGATGGTGGGAAGGAGGCTCGAAAAAAAGGTTTTTCGATTGAATTATTAGGGTGTTGGCTGTTGGTGACTACACACGTGAAGCGAATATTAATAAACAGAAAAACTTCTAAAAGAATATGGTAATCTTCGTACATTGTGGTTCTTTCATATTAGAAGAATATACAGGTTAGTCTGATATTATTTATAATACATATTTTGTTGTAAATGATTGATTTACATGTTTTAATTTCTCCAACGGCTGCCATTACGCAATGCTTGTAGTCACGTACCTCAAACAAATGCCTATTTTTCTCAATTATTTATTATTTAGAAAAACATTGAATTAAACTTTGATTTATATTTTAAATGCTATAATAAACATACGTTTACAAATATTACAAATTATTAGAATACATAATGTTAAACGTTATTATGAAATTATCAAATTACACACTCTTAAACTAAATTTGTATCAATATTACATTTAGTATTATTATTGTGATTGGTCCAGTTTTACAGTTTGATTAATATCTGTGTTTTCAATTGACTTATCGAGACAAGTGAAAAATAACACTATTTATTATTAGGGTTTAAGGTCCCTTGATTTATGTATATGATTTGACCATGCTCCTTGAAGATTAAATATAAAAAGTTACAACAAACAAATATGTCGCCTAAATGGCACAATAACAAATACCTATATCGCCTTAAATGGCACAATAATAAATATGTCGCCTAAATGGCACAATAACAAATATATCGCCTTAAATGGCACAATAATAAATATGTCGCCTAAATGGCACAATAACAAATATATCGCCTTAAATGGCACAATAATAAATATGTCGCCTAAATGGCACAATAACAAATATATCGCCAAAATGGCACAATAAGAAATGTGTCACCTGTGTCAAAATTAAAAGTATATTACCTAAAGGGTAAATACAACAATATTATTACCAAAATGGTTTACAAACTTGCCTAAATGGCTTTACACACAATAAGTTGTTAACACCGTCGTTATTTTTATCGACGAGGTTCAGGGTCTCAGTATATATTCTTGGTTCACCACTCTACCTGCACGGTATAATTGGAATGATTTTGACTACTATTATGTTTTGGATCAGGGTCTCCTTGGATTGACCATAATCCTAACCTTACTTTAACTACGCGAATACGGCACGGTATAATTGGAATGATTTTGAATACTATTATGTTTTGGATCAGGGTCTCCTTGGATTGACCATAATCCTAACCTTACTTTAACTACGCGAATACGGCACGGTATAATTGGAATGATTTTGAATACTATTATGTTTTGGATCAGGGTCTCCTTGGATTGACCATAATCCTAACCTTACTTTAACTACGCGAATACGGCACGGTATAATTGGAATGATTTTGAATACTATTATGTTTTGGATCAGGGTCTCCTTGGATTGACCATAATCCTAACCTTACTTTAACTACGCGAATACGGCACGGTATAATTGGAATGATTTTGAATACTATTATGTTTTGGATCAGGGTCTCCTTGGATTGACCATAATCCTAACCTTACTTTAACTACGCGAATACGGCACGGTATTATTGGAATGATTTTGAATACTATTATGTTTTGGATCAGGGTCTCCTTGGATTGACCATAATCCTAACCTTACTTTAACTACGCGAATACGGCACGGTATTATTGGAATGATTTTGACTACTATTATGTTTTGGATCAGGGTCTCCTTGGATTGACCATAATCCTAACCTTATTTTAACTACGGAAATTGCAGACATTTAGATCTTGTTTCGAGCATTGATTGAGTTGTAGTAAAATAATTTATTTAAGTACTGGACCAAAGAAATATTTAAAATTACTTATATGTTCATACAAGTGTACAATATTGACAAGATTACAAATGAAATTAATTAACTCTTTACTCAACGTTTTACCGGTTTTTTTTTTAAACCACAGAGAAATAGTGGCACCTCTGATCTTATAAATAAATAAGTCATAAAATGAGCATGCTAGTGTTTTAATTAAACAATTCCTGACAATAAGTAAGTATGATACCTTGAAAAAGAACTGTAGTTACTATGTAGGTTTTTAGTTAAACATTTCACAACGAGAAGATTACAGCTATTTGGCCAATTAAATTAAACCTTATATTATTATTATTTTTTTGTATTACCCTTTTTCATTAAACGATGAGGCAGGGGTCTCCACCTTACACTATATTGGATTTTTGTTTGTTATTTACAAGTTTTAACAAACATTTTTTAAAAAACAATAAAAAATAAGTTATCTAGTTTACGAAATATCAATTATTACTTATTACATACCTTAAATTAATGGAATTTTCTTTAAAAAAATATTTATAAATTTTGACACATACGTCAGATTTTATGAATTGTGAAATAGTTTTTATAATTCGAGAAATAATCTAGACGTACCTATATCACTCAACCTATAAATTTAATCTGTCAAACTATGCTCAGTAAGTTTTTTATTTGATTTTTCTTTTTGGAAAATAGTTTCATGCAAAATAATTAAAAATAAAACCCCTCGACCGCTACGCGGTCTCGTGATTTTATTAAATTATTTGCATTCAACATTTTCCAACAAAAACCAAACAAAAAACTGCTGAGCCTAGTTTAACCGATTAAATTCATAGTTCTCGTGATATAATATATGATTAAATCTAATGTCATTTGATGATCAAATCAAATGTCATTTGAGTGTAGGAAGTGTCTACGTATATGTTTGTTGCGACGGTTATGATATTATTTAGTTATTTAGTTGCTGCTGAGGAGCAGTAGACACATCTTAAAATGTATAGTGGGTTGCATACAATACTTTTACTTTACTGCCGATTTGAGATAAACATATGTTTTCTTATTGTTTTAGGTAGAAACCATTAGAGTAGTACTAAAAAAAGAACTGGATCTGCCAATAATTGAAATGTCCGATGCCAAAGCTAGACTAGACGGCGGCGATGTCCTTTTTACTGGTAAGACGATTACATCGAATTAACATTGGTTTAAAGATGATCTGTTTTTTAAATTTGCGATGATCTAAACTCACGCATAAAATTGTGTACGCTCGCCTACCAAAATAGAATAGCTAATTAATATTATGTCAGTCAAGTGTTGGAAATTGTGTTGGAAAGGATCAAGTGGTTCAAGAACATAATTATCAGGAATTTTAGTTACCTAATGTACTGTAACAAGTGTAAAATTTTTTTAAATTTTCAGTGTCTTATTGTGACAAAAACCTACGATTTGTCAAAGTAATCAGATTATTTTTATTTACAGAATAACCTTTTTTACTGTTAATAACATTCCCATTTACTATAATGAAGCAGCAATGTTGAGCTTTTATAAAAAAATGTCCATCCAACAAAGTAATAGTTGTTATCATATTGTCATGGCAATAAGAAATACTTTATGTCTATATTAATCTTTGTTGAACTTAAAATGTTTTTGTTAAATCTATGGCATATTTGTCTTTTTTAAATTACTATCGTTGTAATTTAAATTAATTTTATTTCAGTTAGAAAATCTTTTATTGCTATAAAAAGACTTTCTTAATATTAACTATTGTTTTGAAATGGTAACAAAAGTTTTCTTATTTCCCTTAAAAAGAGGGGGAAAGGGCCAGCGCTCTCCTTGGTGAACATAACTTTATAATGCACAGTCTGTGTTATAATCTTATTGATTTCACTTGTGCGAGTGAAGTGTGGTAAAATCTGGCATGATAAAAATATCAAAAAGATCACTAAGAAAATTAAAATTTCGACGTTTTCTAAAAGAAATATTGAAGGTCTATTTTATAAACGAAGCAGACTTGTTGTTTAAAAATTTTGTACATCATATAATATGAGTATTTTTTTTTATAATAAATAATTTGTTTTAATGCCTTGCAATTATTTAAAAAAAACTACCCAACACCCAACAGTAGGTTGAAAATGTGGCCATTGTTACAATGAAAATAGTTTATTGAATTAACAATTAATTTGTTGTTAAATTTACATAAATGTTAATAATATTATAAAAAAAGTTTTATTTTAAACGAAAAGGCATTTGTAAAATTTACAAAATTTCTATGAATAGTACCATTAGGGTTTCATTAATACTACAAAACGTTTTTGTAAACGGTATAGAACTGTTTTTTTGGACAAATAATAATAACTATATTTATCAATGCGTTTCTGCATCTGGAAGAGTGTTATTTTTATAAACATAACGTAAATTTACTTTATATATAATTAATGCAAATGCTATTACTGAAAACAGTGTTTGTAGATTAATAATTTTTATAAAAATGATATTTTTGCCGTAACAAAAGCAATTGTTGGACGAATAGGGATCTTTACTTTATTAAGCACGGTGGTCAAAACTTAAGTATAGGACGAACAAAAATGCCAACCAAAACTGATAGCATATTTTGATTATAGACCCTTTTGGTAACACTAACATGTATTTATCAAAATCCCAGCTGATCCTATTTTAAAGTTTTGCAAACTTTTTTGTTTTTCTATTTCTATATATTATTTTGCAATTATTGTACTAAAACTACCTGTACAATTTTAATGAAATTAAGCAAAATAATAAACTTTGTATCATTTAAATTACTTTACTCCCCAGTATTCATTTATTGAGTCATCTATTATTTTTTACCACTCAAAACAAAACATAACAAAAAAACGTAAATATTTTTTATAACAAAAAATACTGGAAGTTTGTCTATGAAATAATTACAACTTGCAAATTTTGTAAAACAATAATTAAGGTGGTTATGAAAAAAATTGCTATACGTTATAACGCAAGTGACATTTTGCTTTAGTTGTTTATTTAATGTATACTTTATAAAGTTAAAAATAGTATTTTAAAATGAAAATTAAACCGAAATTCAAGTTAAGCCATGAAGAAAATCGAAAGAAGGTATGTGCTGGCTGTGGAGACAAAATTGTTTTTGGTAATCGAAAAATTCAGAGTTTAGGGTTTCTGAGAAAATATAAAAATTACTGCAGACTTTTTCAAACGAACACTTTAACTTAAGTGATTCAAAATTACCTAGTTCAATATGGTAAAAACGGCATTTTTCCATAGCCACAATTGCCAAATTTTCAAAATTTAGAAATTGCTAGAGAATTTCGCGGCAGCCAAGAATGTATGTGCTTTATCTGCAAAATGGCAAGATATAAAGGGCATAAAAAATTATTAAGGGAAGAGTACGGACGAACGAACTAAAGTTTTGATATGCTCTTCCTTTCTAGGGGATATCGCTAGATGTAAGAAGCATGTTTGTACAGAGACTCAAGAATTTAAAAATACTGTTTCCATGTTAAAAACAATTCCATGTAAAACCCAAGAAAAAGTTTTACTGAAAATTTAAGGCAAGCAGTAATCGATTTTGCTTCAAAGAATCTTTAGTTATTATTAGTTTTGTATTAGGTACCTTAAATCAATAAATAAGATATTGCAAACTGCATTTTACATTATTTTGTAATTATAATGTAATTTATTCATATTTCAGTCATGTATCAAAATATGGATGCTATCAGTTTTGGTTGGCATTTTTGTTCGTCCTATACTTTAGTTTTGACCACCGTGTAAGACAAACTACTTTTTTCGTTGTATTTATTAAACAATTTTCTGAGTGCGATGATCACAACTCTTTTTTCCTTTTAGGTAGAGAATTTTTCGTTGGCTTAAGCCAATGGACGAACGAGGGGGGGGCCCGGGCAGTGGCAGCTGCGTTTCCAGAATACCCATGCACGCCTATCAAGGTAAAGCCGGAGACTTTAATAATAGGTCCTAATAAGAGCCTAGACAAGGTAAGCGTGCTAAATTAAGGGAAAAAGCTGTACGTACGCGAAGCAAAGTGCACGCTATACCACACACAAATTATTAATTAATTAACACATTTTAATTGTTTAAAATGGTTTCATTACCTATGTCTTTTGTACACGCTTATTTTTTTTAGTGGGTCACGATTTTTGTTTAGTTTTTTTGTGGCTAATAAGTAGTTTAGTTGAAAATTTACAACATGGGGTTTCGTGAAAATTATCTTAAAGTTAATTTGCACGTAAAAAATATAAAAAATTAATAAAAAAATTAATTTGCAGTTTATTAATTTTTAAAAATATTTGCCCTATTAATTAATTATGTAATAAAAAAATTGCAAAATACATAATATTATAGTAAATATATATTGTTGTATAGGAAATTATTAAAAAACTATATATGTAATATGATACCTGATATACCTGAAAAATCGTAAAAAAAAACAATAAATCATATATTTAACAAAATAGGTATCTTTAATATTATATGTTATCTATTAAAGGATAAAAGAATAAAATTAAAAAAATAGGAGTTTCATAAAAGAAATTTAATAAACATAAAAAAATCATACAAAATGCAAAATTAACCTAAAAAACGTTAAAATTATCAAAGAAAGAAAAATCAAGAAGAACAATAAAAAGAAAAAGTAAAAAACGTAAAAATTTATACACTTTTTAAAATCATGCAGGGAAGTTTTAAAATTTAATAAAAAAACAAGACATTTAATCAAATGTAACCCACCCAAAATTTTGATTTTATAGGTTGGCTATACTTTAAACAGCATAATATTTTGCATATTGGTTATAATATTTTTATGATTTTTCTAGTACTTTCGAGACTTTTCTGGCAATAAATTTTGTTTTACACCAAAGAAAATCTTTTTTTCTTCTTTAACATTAACAGCCGCGTATTGTAAATAAGTAAATTAAGGACGGCATGGCGAATCGATTTTGACATTAACTGTCAAACCAATGACTGTGATACCAACTATCTAAAGTAAAATTCAAACAAATTAAATTTAAGGTATAAAATTATTTTTTTATAGAATTTTTGCAAAATGTATAAAAATTTAATTTAATAGCATAAAGAACTCATGTCATAAGACCTTTTGTCGCACTCGTCCATTATTGACGTCTTATGACATTACTTCTTTAATAGACTATTTTTTAACTGCTTTTATTTTTAAATTTTTAAATCTTTCAGTAGGTATGATTTAAAAATCTCATAAAATAATAAAAAAATACCGATAATCATGCATGTTATATTATAAGAATTTAAAAAAATACATTTATAAAAAACTAAAAATTTAGTAAATTTTATAATTTGTGTTCATTATTCTTTAGAAATTAAATAAACGAAAGAATTGTAAAATATAATTTATTTAGTAGATTCATAAAATACGAGCTTGTATAAACCTACAAAAATCATAAAAATAGAAAAATTTACCTAAAAATGTTAAAATTATGTAAAATAATAAAATACAATATAAATATATATAAATAAATCTTTAATAAACCTTTTTTTAAGAAAGGTATCAAAAACTAAGAAAATTAGGTACAATCATAAAAAACATTAACATGCTTTTAATATATTAAAACCTGAAAAGATCATACAATATGTAAAATTAACCCAAAAAACGTTAAAATTATTAAAGAAAGGAAAGTCACGAAGAACAATGTTGGAAATTTTTTTATTTTATACAAGGTAAAAAGTATAAAATTCAAAAAATAGATTATTAAGTAAAATCATAAAAAATAATAACAAGCTTTTAATATACCTAAAAATTCAGGAAAAAATTTAAAAATTGACCTAATTTTAAAATAATACAATAAATAAAAAAAGAAGGGGATAAACAGTTATTATTATAGTTTTTTTGTAAATCTTGACAAATTTTTTAAAATTTGTAAATTTTGAAAAATTTGGAAATTTTGAAGGATTTGGGAATTTTGAAAATTTTGTAAATTTTTAAACTGTTTTTTGAAGAACCTAAATTTTGGAAAATTCTAGAAATTTTGCCAATTTAGAACTGTTTTTTAAAGAGCCATAATTTTGGAAAATTCTAGAAATGTTGTCAATTTTGAAACTGGTAATTTTGAAATTATGGATGTTTTAAAATTTTGGAAATTTTGGTAATTTTGGATATTTTGAAATTTTTGGATATTTTGAAAAATTTGGAAATGTTGAAGAATTTGGGAATTTTAGATCTGTTTTTTGAAGAACCAAAATTTTGGAAAATTCTAGAAATTTTGCCAGTTTTGAAACTTTGGATATTTGAAAATTTTGGAAAATTCTAGAAATTTTTTCAACTTTGATATTTTAAAATTTTTGGATATTTAAAAAAAAAAAATTTTGGGAATTTTGGAAATTTTTTGAAAAACCAAATTTTGGAAAATTCTAGAAATTTTGTCAATTTTGAAACTTTTGGTAATTATAAAACTTTGTATATTTGGAAATTTTGAAAATTTTGGAAAATTCTAGAAATTTTTTCAATATTGAATCTATTGGTAATTTTGAAATTTTGAATATTCTAAAATTTTTAAAAATTTGGAAATTTTGAAGAACCAATTGACCTAATATTGACCCCTATATTTAAAATATTTTAAAATCATACAATAAATAATAAAAAGAAAGGAATAAACAATTATTATTATAGTTTTTTTGTAAATATTGACAAGCATATTATTTTTGTAGTATCATTTTACTTTGATATTTTACCAACCCCCCCTAAAATATAATATATACTCAATTTTGGTGGCTAACTAAAACCTTGTTTAATCAATGGTGCGTTGAACACAACCTAAAACAAAAGAAAAATTACGAACCCTCTGACATACAAACAATAAAACGATTTGTGAGGCGTTTAGGGGATATTGCAATTCCCCCAGAATTGTATTGTTAAGCGAAACACGAACCAACATTTGCGTCAATAGACTAAAGCAAACAAGAAATTATCTTCTAGGTATTTTTTCTTTTGTAAAACAAAATATGTTGTTTGTAAAACTTTCAAAAAATATTAATCTTTTTCTAGGAACTTGTCCTATATAATCATTTAGTTGGTCAATCAATCGATAAAGCATTAATTGTAATGTATTGTGTTGGATATTTCCAATTCAGCTTACGTAAATGAAATTTACATAACAAGTTTGTAACGAATTCCAACTATTTTTCATTTTCAATCAAACCTTTTATCATGATGCATTAAAACGATTAAATCGAATAATTAAAATACTTTATTTCCTATATTGAATGTGGAAAAAATAATTTATGTTTATTGTGAATAAAGGCTAATGCTTTTTTTATTTAAACTTTGTATTTTATTTGGCCGCTTTGAAAGCTTTTTTATCGATCAGTTTTACGCACATATACATTCTTTGGATTTATTGATCCAGCCAATCAAAATTTGCGTGGTGTGTACTAGACTGGGCTAAAAAAAATCGACTATTTTTTTTTTTTGTAAAGTATATCGAAAATATTGTTTGGGGTGACAAAAAAAAATTATGGTGAAAGTTTGAGTCCATAATATTAATATTAAGAGGTCTATCATCGCAATTTTAGATTTTTTTTTTCCTGAGCGAGTTTTTGTCTCAGAACTCCCAAATCATTGAGTTTAACAAAATTGACTTAAGAATATTTTTTGAAGAAAATTAAATGCTCTACAAAAAAGGTTTAATTGGAATTTCCCGTCAGATGAACCGTTTTCTTACAATCATGCCTTAAAAATTGGTATACAATTTTACAATTTGATCTTTTAACTTTAGAATTGTGTAATTCAAGTAAAAATCAGTACCCTGAAAAAAAACCGATAAATATTCTTATGGGAAATCAAATGCTCTACAAAAGTCTTTTATCATTTTTGGCTAAATTCACTCTATCAAAAGTTATTCAAGGTTAAATTTGAAGTCGAAACGAAATTTTAACCTTGAATAACTTTTGATTGAGTGAATTTAGCCAAAAATGTTGAGAGGCTTTTTTTGTAAAGCATTTGATTTCCCATAAGAATATTTATCGGTTTTTTTCTGGGTACTGATTTTACATGAATTACAAAATTCCAATTTAAAAGATCAAAATGTAAGGTAAAACCGGGTAACATTGACACATCTTTAGAAAAAAAAATTTTTATGCTTATTTTCGTCACTAAAAATTTACAAATCTCACTTTCGGCAAATCAGTATGTTGTGCATACATATTAAGTAGTAGTTTTCAATGTTATTATATATATTTTTTTTAATTCTGAAAGTGTCAATGTTACCATATAGTCGGCTAACATTGACACCCATATAAACAGTGTTATAAATGAATGTTTGCGAAGTGTAGTGTATCATTGACATGAAGTATGATATTTACACAGAATTTTCGAAATTTTTTATTTTTTATTTCAACAAAATACAAAATATTTAATGTGAATATTGCAAATAATAACTAGCCAAGTTTATTTGCCGCGTAAACACCAGATTTCGTCAGCTGTAAAATAAGTTTATCGTAAAAAATCCATCATGTCATTCAGTCAACCTTTAGGTTCTTACCACTAGATGGTGGGACACATATTGCAATTTTAGAAACAGCCATAACTACATTTTATTTCAAAACACGAGAACTGGGCGCGTTATTTGAAAATGTGTCAATGTTAACACCATGTCAATCTTACCCGGTCTTACCTTAATACTATACCAATTTTTAAGGCATGATTTTAAGGAAACGGTTCATCTGACGGAAAATTTCACTTTAACCTTTTTTGTAGAGCATTTCATTTTCTTAAAAAAATATTTTCGAGTCAATTTTGTTAAATTCAATGGTTTGGGAGTTCTGAGACAAAAACTTGCTGAGGAAAAAAAATTAAAATTGCGATGATAGACCTCTTAATATTGAAGGAACAGGTCAAACAACAAGCTGCAGAGCACTTTTCAAAAAACTTACTAAAAATTACTGACGTTACCAGCTACTTACCTACATACTTACCTAATGTATGTTCACTCAAATCAAAACTCCTATACAGACCATTCTAATCATGGATATGGAACACGCCATAGGAAAAATTTGAGAACACCACAAAACAGAATTTCCAGGACCCAAAACTCATTTAACCATTGGGGTATCAAGTTTTTCAATAAATTACCGATAGATATAAGACTCAAAAGTAAACCAAATTTTAAAGATACTATAAAAGAAGTTTTATTGGATAATGTTATCTACGATTTTAACGAATTTTTTAATCTGTCCTTTTAATTGTTTTGTAATATTTTTAACCCGTTTTTAATCTGTCTTACCAATTTCAATATGTTTTACTCTTTACACTTCTTACTTTATATTATTTTTACCTTGACGTCTTTGTATTTTTTGGAAGCAAATAAACTATATTATTATTATTATTATTATTATTATTATATTATTATGGACTTAAACTTTCACCATAATTTTTTTTTGTCACCCCAAACAATATTTTCGATATACTTTACAAAAAAAAAATTGTTGATTTTTTGGCCCAGTCTAGTGTACAGGGCGTTTGCAAATTCGAAGCAAAGTTTTGTACACCGCGTTTGCAAGACGTTTATTTTGTGTTTCGTTCTAAGGTGCCGGAGTCAAAGCACTTGAAGTCGTACATAACGATGGGCGGGCCGGATTTGCTGTGCGTTGGCGGCGGGAAGGAGTCGCAGGAAGTGTTGAAGCGCATGGAGCGGGAGGCGACGTTCAGCTATCAGACGCTAACGTTGCCCGAAGACACTGCTGCTAACGTGCTCTACTTGAACGGGACCCTCGTGCACAGGAGTCTCGATGAGATACCGTCTTCCTATAAGGTGAATATGTAAGGTGTTTGGACTGTATTTCGAAGAACCAAAATTTTGGAAAGTTCTAGAAGTTTTGCCAGTTTTGGAAATTGACAGTTTTGAAACTTGGATATTTTAAATTTTTTGGATATTTGGACATTTTGAAATTTTTTTGGTATTTTTGATATTTTAAAAATTTATGGATATTTTGAAAATTTTGGAGATTTCAAAATTCTAGAAATTTTGCCAATTTTGAAACTTTTGGATGTTTTAAAATTTTTGGATATTTAACTGTTTTTTGAAGAACCAAAATTTTGGAAAATTACAGAAATTTTGTCAATTTTGAAACTGGTAATTTTGAAATTATGGATATTTTGGTTTAAATATTTTGAAAAATTTGTAAATTTTAGAACTGTTTTTTGAAGAACCAAAATTTTGGAAAATTCTAGAAATTTTGTCAATTTTGAAGCTTTTGGTGATTTTGAAATTTTGGATATTTTAAAATTTTCGGATATTTGAAAATTTTGAAAAATTCTAGAAATTTTGTCAACTTGAAACTTTTGGTAATTTTGAATTTTTTAAATTTTTGGATATTTAAATATTTTGGATATTTTGAAATTGTTGATATTTGTTGATATTTGAAAATTGTTGGATATTTTGAAAATTTTGTAAATTTTACAACAGTTTTTAGAAAAACCAAAATTTTGGAAAATTCTAGAAATTTTGTCAATTTTGAAACTGGTAATTTTAAAACTATGGATATTTTAAAATTTTACAAATATTGTTAAATTTGGATATTTTAAAAATTTTGGAATTTGGGAATTTTGAAAATTTTAGAACTGTTTTTTGAAGAACCAGAATTTTAAAAAATTCTAGAATTTTTGCCAATTTTGAAACTTTTGGTAATTTTGAAATTTTGGATATTTTATAATTTTTGGATATTTGAAAATTTTGGAAAATTCTAGAAATTTTGTCAACTTTAAAACTTTTGGTAATTTTGGATGTTTTAAAATTTTTGGACATTTGAAAATTTTGGATATTTTGAAATTTTGGGAATTGTGGATATTTGAAATTTTTTGAATATTTTGAAAATTTTAAATTTTGTAATTTTAGAGCTGTTTTTTGAAGAACTAAAATTTTGGAAAATTCTAGAAATTTTGTCAATTTTGAAACTGGTAATTTTGAAATTATGGATATTTTAAAATTTTGTAAATATTGGTAATTTTGGATATTTTAAATATTTTAAAAATTTTGGAAACTTATTTTGAAAAATTTGTAAATTTTAGAACTGTTTTTTAAAGAACCAAAATTTTGGAAAATTCTAGAAATTTTGTCAATTTTGAAACTGGTAATTTTGAAATTATGGAAATTTTAAAATTTTGTTTATATTGGTAATTTTGGATGTTTTAAAAATTTTGGAATTTGGGAATTTTGTAATTTTTAGAACTGTTTTTTGAAGAACCAAAATTTTGGAAAATTCTAGAAATTTTGTCAATTTTGAAACTTTTGGTGATTTTGAAATTTTGGATATTTTAAAACTTTGTAAATTTTGGTATATTTGGATATTATAAAAATTTTGATAAATTTGGAATTTTTGGAAATTTTTAAGAATTTGGTAATTTTGTAAATTTGAGAACTGTTTTTTGGAGAACCAACATTTTGGAAAATTCTGCAAATTTTGTCAATTTTGAAACTTGTGGTAATATTGAAATTTTGGATATTTTAAAAATTTTGGTAATTTTGAAATTTTGAATTTTTTTGAAATTTTGTTAATTTTGGATATTTTAAAATATTTGGATATTTTGAAAATTTTACAATTTTGGAAATTTTAAAAAATGTTTAAATTTTGAAAAAATGTTCATTTGATACGCATGTCAAGGATGTGATAAAATACAGCATACAATATTGGATTGATTTATTTCCATCTCTCTCTTACTTATGCACATCCACTCATTTCTTACGCCACGCATCCCACTCTTACTCAAATCAATTTGTTTTAAATAGCCCAGAGTGTTTAAAAATATCAAAAACCCAAAAACTAGTCTTAATTTATTAACAAAATTTTGACAAAACTGTAAATTATTATTACTAAATCTTATTTATAATTAATTGTTTAAAAAAATATATAAATATTGATAATTTGTGGAAAATATTTAAAACTGTATCTATAATTATTGAAAAAATGTTGTTATGGCATTTTGAAAAGTTTGTAATTTTAAAATACCTATATAAAAATAGTAATATTATGGTAAATTGTAAATAAGCAATGTACAAAACTAAAACAGTAAAATTTAAATATTTAATAAGAAATATGAGTAATAGTTTTAAGCTTAATACCGTATTACCTTTACATTTTTAAGCTTAATAGGTATTAAATAAATTAAATTAAAATTGAAGTTTATGGCTATATTATGGAAAATAATAAATTTAAGAACATTCGAGGTCAAAATAAAATATTACGAATGTAATTTGTGGGTGTACAAAGGTTAATTGAAAGTTCACCTAGTAAAATTAACTAATAATAAAAACGTCCTCGCTTATTTAGTTAACAAATTAACGTGGGCAAAAGGTATCAACCATAAAGTTTTAATATTTTTTAGGTGTTTGGAGAAAAAATCGACTACCCAAGAAGATCGGTTAATCTTTCGCAGCTAGCTTCAGCTTCGTGCGGATTGACATCCAGCTGCATACTAGTCAGAAGGTCGCGTCACATAAGAAACCTTTAAATTTGTTTTTATTCCTTAACAATTAATGTAATATTTTACCACCTCAGGTCTTCATGGAAAATTCGCTCGCAAATCGTACTGAACTGTATGCGGGTTGCCGAGGAGTAATCTCGGTTGCCTACACTCAATGTTGATTTTGAGCGAATTTTAAAAATTTAACTACCGGCCCCTTTAATGTTGAACGGCGTTTTGAAAGTCTATTATATTGAAAGTATATTATATAAATTAGACTGGGCCAAAAAAATTGACTATTTTTTTTTTGAAAAATATATCGAGAATGTCATTCAGAATGACAAATAAAAAATTTCGTGAAAATTTGAGCCCTTAATATTAATTTTAAGAGGTCTATCATCGCTATTTTTGATTTTTAGTCATAATTTGATGTTTTGCGTTAGAACTGTCAAAACATTAAAGTGAAAAAAATTTCTTTTCACTTATTTTTATATAAAATTAAATTCTCTACAAAAAAGGTCTGATAGAAAATTTTCGTCAGACGAGCCGTTTCCGAGTAATTGAGCTTAATAAATCGATGTGTTTTTTCGATTTGCCCTTTTTACTTTACTAAATTTTGTAACTAATGAATCAATGAATATTTAAAAAAGCTCACGTCGGATTCTTAAAGGAAATTTATTGTTCTACAAAAAAGGTCTCTTAACATTTTTGCCTAAATTTAATTCTTCAAAAGTTATTCACGATTAAAATCGAAGAAAAACTTAAAATTTCAATTTTTTCTTCGTGAATAACTTTTGAAGAATTAAATTTAGGCAAATATGTTAAGAGACCTTTTTGTAGAACATTTAATTTCCTTTAAGAATCCGACGTGAGCTTTTTAAAATATTCATTGATTCATTAGTTACAAAATTTCAAAGTAAAAAGGGCAAATCGAAAAAACACATCGATTTATTAAGCTCAATTACTCGGAAACGGCTCGTCTGACGAAAATTTTCAAGCAGACCTTTTTTGTAGAGAATTTAATTTTATATAAAAATAAGTGAAAAGAATTTTTTTCACTTTAATGTTTTGACAGTTCTAACGTAAAACATCAAATTATGACTAAAAATCAAAAATAGCGATGATAGACCTCTTTAAATTTCTCAAATTTTCACGAAATATTTTTTTGTCATTCTGAATGACATTCTCGATATATTTGTCAAAAAAAAAATAGTCCATTTTTTTGGCCCAGTCTAATATAAATGTTATGATTAACATTAATGTGCTTGGAAAACTTTTAAGAGATTTTATCCATGAAAATAATTTTTTTCATGTTTTTTTATTATATTTATTTTTATGACACCCGGTTTTATGTGAAAAAAATGGCATCTATTCATTCCAGTTAGCATTTAATGCATTTAGAGGTTTTATTATTAGTTTTTATTTTTTTGACAATATAAATATTGCAGGTTTTTATTTAATTTATTTCACGAAAAAAATACAAACTTTTTTTTATTTTATGTTGGTGCTATGTGCAATTGAGCGTTTAAAGTAATTATAATTATTAAAAACATTTTTCAGGTTTTTTTCAATGTTTTTTATATATAACCGAAAAACACTTGAATTACTTTTGAAAATTTTTGTTTTTAAATGTTTTTTTCAATAAAATATCGAAAAAATTATTCGACCGATCTTCAGCGTTTTTTTTGTAAAACTTCTCTATGTTTGCCATTTTTATTTTTTTTTATTTAAAAGTTGCCGTTTTCTGCATATTCTCTGAAGTTTTCTAGTGGCATTTTTTCGTTTTTTATTTTTTTTTTAAAGAAAAAAAAATATTTTTTCTAGCTTATTTCTTAAAATACCACACTGAAGATTTTTGAAGATGTAGAAAGAACCAAGTTTAAAAAAATAATAATGTTTTTTGAAAAAATAAGAAAAAAATAATAAATAATTTTTACTACATTTAAAACCGAAGAAAAAATTGTAATTTGGTTCATTTTTGGCTTTTAAAAACATTTTCTACAAATTCTTATTTTTTTGGAAAACTGAAATTGGTATATATATATTTCAATTTTATTTATATATTTTTTTCAAACATCCTAAACAATCCTCAGAGTGGTATTGTAAGTTAAAAAAATGGTTTTAATTAAGAAGAGTTTGCAGAAAACGTCAAAAAAAATCATCGGGAATTTTCGTTTTTTTTCGAAATTAAAAAAAAAAGTTGAAGATTGGTCTGAATACTTTTTGTGAATTTAAAGTTTAAAAAAAAACATTCCATTAAGCCAATTTTTGAAAAATTGTTAACTTTTGGTTTGGTGGAAAAATTCTGGAAAATATTTTTGATTGAGTAAGTAATGCCCCATATTATATACTAAACAATTTCTCCTGTGAATTCCAGCGTCTTTTTTTATTTTTTCGAGCATTGTGACCAGCAAACTTTTTTAGTTAGTTTGAATAAAGAGCTCAAAATAATTTTTAAATGATGATTTACAAAAAATAAATTATATATTTACACATTATGTACCTATAGGTACATAATAAGCACAAAAGCCAACTTTCTTGCTTTCAAATAAAGTTATAAAAACTTTTCAACAAAAGTAAACCCAGTGAAATATTTTGTGTTCTTTTATTCCAAAAAAGTATTAGCTTTGAGCCAATTTAAAACCCATCGTTCCATTTTAATTAAAAATATATTTTTGATATTGTTTTCTCTATGTATTTTTAACACAACTAGATGTACCTACCTTAAATGTTTAGCACTTACATACATTCCCACTTTAGCAATAAAATCATCGGATAATGTGTAGAACTAGGAAAAAGTCCATCAACAATTGCCGATACTGTTTAAAATACTACTTACTCGTATTTTCTGTATTTAGAAAAATGTATCTGAATGTTTTTAATGTGGTCTAGTTGTGTATTTATGTGATTTAAAATCTCTCCATAAATAAAAAGTATGTTAATAAAATGTGCTTTTTTTTAATCATAAAATTGAATTTATTAATACGCATAATTATAATAAGTGCCAATTAGTAGATATTTGTGATAAAATATTTTTTACTTAACAATGATAAAATGATTAAAATAATTTTTATTAGATAAGGTAGGTTTATATTTATAAATGATATAAATAAGTTTGGTTTTTAAAAGTAAAAGAAAAAAATGTTTTTTATTTCATAATTAAATTAATCTTTAATTTTTAATGCTAAAAACGATTTAAATTAGAAATAATTAATAATAATCAAGTCCAAGTTGAAGATAGTTAGGATTATTATTCATAAAAATGTTAATTCAGAAATAAAAAATCGGTATACAAATTTTTAACATAAAATAAAATACGTAAAAATATTTTTGTTATCGAATATTGTTTTAATTTGACAAATAACTATAAAAAATATTTTGGATTCTGTCTTTTACTTGGTATTTAATACTAATTACCAATTAGGTACTTAAGTAAGAATATTCTTAGGATCATGCTATATGTTATTTAGAAGAATATATATATATATATAATATTTTATTAATTATACCCACCATTTTTTAACTAATATTTAAGTTTCCTTTTATACATTATTTCATTCAGTGATAATTATAAATTGCGCACCATGGTCACACAACAAAATTTTTTTAACAGTGGAGGAAAAAATAGAAATGATTTTGATTTGTGGAGAAAATAAAACCAAGTATTTTATTAGGTACTGATTGATTTTCCCCTCGAATCATTTAATTTTTTTTATTTTAAACATTTTTTCGTAAAATTCACACAAGTTACATTACTCACAGTCATTACTCACCCTGTATATAAATGCATTTATCTGGGGTATTATACAAATTTGGGGCCCAATATGTAACATTTAAATTTTATTTTTTTTTTAACAATATGTAGGAAAAACATTTAAAGTTAGAATAAAACAATTGTTGTGTTCTTTAATTTATTGCATAATAATTATTATTAACAACAAGAGGCGTGTCAAAAAATAATAATATATATTTTTTTGAAAATATGGTTTGGGGTGACAAAAAATTATTGTGATAGTTTGAGTCCATAATATTAATATTAAGATCGCAATTTTAGTTTTTTTTCCTGAGCGAGTTTTTGTCTCAGAACTCCCTAATCATTGAGTTTAACAAAATTGACTTTGGAATATTTTTTGAAGAAAATTGAATGCTCTACAAAAAAGGTTAAATTCACCCCAAACAATATTTTCAATATACTTTCCAAAAAAAAAATTTTGGCCCAGTCTAATATATAGTATAATAACTAAAATAATAACTAACATAAGGCTAAGGCCCAGGAGTAACATAAGCCTAAGGGCCTTAGGCTAAGGCAATCTTTGAATTTTTTGTTGAAATTATTGTAGGTGGAGTCGCAAAAGCTTGTGACAGATTGAGGATATGAAATAAATTTTTATTAAAAATTAATAAAAATTTTATAATACAATAAATTATGGTTTTGATTAGAATAACTATAGTTATTGGACATACACACCATATATGGTCCATGTGTCCAATTACTATATAAAATGTCCAATTACTATACTTTTCTGCATGTTTTAATAAAACAATTATAAAAAATTCAAATATTCTTATTTTTAAGTAAACGTAAATAAAGTTTAAACAAGCACACTACCCTTTTTATGTATTTATAAGAAAAAAGCTAAAATCTTTCAAACAACGGCATATATAAATTGTGTCCAATAAATATATGGTTTACCCCATTATATTATTTGTTAATTTGTTTTTCTTACGTGCATGTGCTTGTTACGTGTGTGTTGCATGGAATTTGCAAAAAGTTCCAATAGTAGTAAAAACTTGATTTGGCTGTTTATTTCTAGAACCAACCTAAATTAATGAAAATGCTTTTAAAAGTTATTTTTAAAATATTTTTTTTGTATTTTAAAATAATTTGCATACATTTTTCTTACAGAATAAAAATATAAACATGACAACAATTCTTAAAAAAATCATATCAAGTTTTTTTAACATACTTCATTAAAGTAGCCAAATTTGTGCCTTAAATATTAATCAAGCGGAATATGCGGAAAAGAATGTGTAAATTTATTGCATTATTAACAATAAAAGACGTGCCAAAAAAACACCCACCCTGTTAAACGAAAATGCCTTATCTGCATTATTTATATTGTAGATAAGTTATTTTGGCGTAAAAGGACTTGAAATTCCCCTGATAGCAAAATTTGATTTTAAGAATCTTCTAAGAAGATATGACCCGGAAAAATGGAGAAGAATGTTCTCAGGGACTTTTAATGATGCAATTAGATTCTTAGAAGCTTCTTAAAAAGCATCC